GCGCTGCCTGAAATAACCGGCGCTGCCTGAAATAACCGGCGCTGCCTGAAATAACCGGCGCTGCCTGAAATAACCGGCGCTGCCTGAAATAACCGGCGCTGCCTGAAATAACCGGCGCTGCCTGAAATAACCGGCGCTGCCTGAAATAACCGGCGCTGCCTGAAATAACCGGCGCTGCCTGAAATAACCGGCGCTGCCTGAAATAACCGGCGCTGCCTGAAATAACCGGCGCTCTAAACCCTAAACCCTAAACCCTAAACCCTAAACCCTAAACCCTAAACCCTAAACCCTAAACCCTAAACCCTATTATTATTATTTTTATTATGTGAGTTTATTAGAATGCTAGAATGTTGCTCGGCCTCGTTGTGGGCTTTTGCAGTTTGATCCTAGTCTAAAGAGGCGCTCGAGCACTGGGAGTACACGGCCTACAATGCGAACCCTGCTTCTGAGGCGTCTTTCTACTCTCTACTTCTGCTGTCTTCTCTTGGCTTCCTCAGCCTCAGTCAGGAGAGTTGCCTCTCCTCACCTTGGCCTTCGGTCGCCACCTACTCCTCCTCCATTCAGTTTCCTCAGCCTCAGTCAGAAGAGTTGCCTCTCCTCACCTTGGCCTTCGGTCGCCACCTACTCCTCCTCCATTCAGCTTCCTCAGCCTCAGTCAGGAGAGTTGCCTCTCCTCACCTTGGCCTTCGGTCGCCTCCTACCTTCTCTACTTACCTTGAGCTCAGCTCAAGCTCGGTACGGGCTCGCCCCGTCTTCTTCCTCGCCCTCGCCTTGCTCTTCCTCCATGTCTTCCTCTTCTTCGCCATCTTCCCTCATCTCCACCCGCAGTCGGTCCTTCTTGTCCACCTTCAGCGAGCAGGCCAGCACATGCATCTCTGCGAATTTACTCAGTGCTATGAACAGGAAGCTAAGAGATCGACGCTCTATGTCGTCGCTCTCCGCCTCCTGCTCAAGCTCAGCAGCTGCCGTTGCCCGTGGCGAGAACGCGCTGCCCCTCCTTGCCTTCTTGCTCTCTCCTTGCACGCGAGTCCAGCGCTTGCTCTGCAGCCACTTCCCCAGCTTCTCCTTGAGCGCGTTGCGTCCCACTCCCTGCTCCTCTGGCGTCTTCGCCCACTCTCCCAGCGACATGAACTCCAGGCTCCCCGGAGAGTAGAAGGTGTCGTGGAGGTTGCCAACGGCCTTGTCCAGGACCAGCTTGATCGGCTCGCTCGTCCCCGCCTCGTTCAAAGAAGTTGCATCTTCGATGACTGCTGACAGCTCGCTGACGAGCTGCATGTCCTCTTGGCTTGACGGAGATGCTGCCTCCATTGTGATCCTCTCCAGGTCTGTAAACTCCAGCCACTCTCCCTCGCTCTCCTCCTGTCGCTGCGCTGTGTCGCTGGTGCCCCGCTGACCAGCCGCCTCAGGCTCCTTGTCGAAGCCGACTGCTTCGAGCTTGGTTGCTGCGCCTTCGAGATAGAAGGGCAGCTCCTTCATCATGCGTCGAGCATCCTCCGTGGAGCCGAGGAGGATGCATAGCTTGGACCCGTTCCAGGACTTGGTGTTCAAATCCTCCTCCATGTCGATGCCTTCAACTTTGATCTCGAGCCTGTTAGCGATCTCCAACAGGACTCTCTTGACTCTTGCGATGGACGTGTTGCCGCCGTTGCACAGCCCCTCCATCTCCTTCCTCGTGAAGCGACCAGATGCCGCCGTCGACTTGATGATGATCTTGATCTCCTTGCCGTCCTTGCCGCCTGCCTTCTTCTGCAGTCTTGATGCCTTCTTCAACTTATTCCTAGAGACAAAGCGATCAGCTGTCAACTCGACTGCGAGCGCCTCTCTGATCTTCGGGTCCTCGCTGAACAGAGTCAGGTGTACTCCCTCCATCGCTTCGCTCTCTCGGAAAGCTCGAAATGCTGTATCATTCGCCTCTGGGCAGCTCGAGGAGACGATCCACTCCACCTCCCTCTGTCTCCAGATGACGTTGGCCCCTACAGCGACGAAGCCTTTCTGACCTAAGCCTTTGTGGACTTGCTGGCCTGGCGCCCCAGCGACCAGCATGCCTGCCAGCGGCTGGAGTTGGACCGCTGCAAGGGACTGGCGCAGCAGCTGATAGCGATAGACGGCAGCTATCTCAGCTGTTGTCATGCCGCCCAAGGTTAGCAGGTGGGTCAGCTCTGCCAAGCTGCCCCCTTTGCCCCAGGGTCCTCTCTTGGCTCGAATCTTGAAAGATCGATCGTGCACGATGCTCACATGTACAGCTGTGAACTTGCGACCATCGATCGCGAAGTCCTCTCTTCCCTGCCAGAGCTTCTCCGCTTGTGCATTGCGAAGGAAGGAAACAGTCACCGGGATCTCCTCAGCACTCGCTATCTCGGGTCTATACAAAGCCTTCCACATGATTGCTTTACTCTCTTGCACTGAGTCTACGATCAGTCCGATCTCTTCAAATTTCTTCTTCAACTTCTCTTCGTGGTTGACATACACCGAGGAGATGCCCAGGAGAGTCATGGACTGAGATGAAGGAAGTCACCTCGTTGCCTGCTGTGGCGGTGTATGTCTCGACCTTCTCCTTCTTGGCTTCTTCAATCTGCTGCATAAACCACTCTCTGGATGCGTCACTCCATCCAGTCATTGCTTCTTGTAGAAGCTCACGTCGTGCCTGCTGACATGTCGAGCGGATGGCTTCTGCGATAGCGTCGGGGGTGCATCCCTCCACAGCCTTGCAAGCCTGGGCTGTCCTGCTGTTCGGATAACGCTTCGCGAAGCTCTTCACTTTCTCGACAAGATCAGCTTCGAGGACAGAGGCATCCACAAGTCCGCTCTGCGTGTATTGGCATGATCTCCGATACAGCAGGTTGCGAACATTTTCATCATACTGAAGAACCATACTTAGAACGCTATTTGAAGTATACAAACCTCTCGCTTGCAGCTTCCTTGGCGCCCTGGCGGCTTCCCCTACACCTGACAAGGAGCCATGCTGCCCTGACAAGGAGCCATGCTGCCCCTAAACCCTAAACCCTAAACCCTAAAGCCTTGTCGACTCCATCGACTGAGTCTACCATGAGACCTAGCTCCATAAGCTTCGATTTCAACTTTTCTTCTTGTCGAACAAACATCGAGGAAATCCCTAGGAGAGTCATGGAGATGAAGGAGGTCCCCTCGGTGCCTTGGGTGCCGATGCCATGTCTCGACATTCTGCTTCTTGGCCTCCTCCATCTGTTGAATAAACCATGCTCTCGACTCTGAGCTCCATTCGCTCAGAGAGTCTTCAAACAGGTCGCGTCTCGCCTGCCGACATGTCGAGCGGATGGCTTCAGCGATAGCGTCGGGAGCATAAGCTGTCCGACTATTCGGATAACGCTTGGTGAAGTTCTTCACCCTCTCGACGAGGTCGGCGGCCTCCTCGACGTGGCCTCCAGAGCGCTCACCCTGAGTGTATTGGCATGATCGCCGATACAGCAGGTTTCGAACGCTCTCATCATACTGTAGTACCATGCTTAGAAAGCTGTTAGAACTATACGAACCTCTTGCTCGCAGCTTCCACCAGTCCCCTTGCGCTCTCCCTACGCGCCGCAGGGCAGCATGCTCTTACTAAGGGCCGGCTCCTAAACCCTAAACCCTAAGTATGCCAGAGTGCGTTGTAGGAGTATGCCAGAGTGCGCTGTAGGAGTATGCAGAGTGCATTGTAGGAGTATGCCAGAGTGCGTTGTAGGAGTATGCCAGAGTGCGTTGTAGGAATATGCAGAGTGCGTTGTAGGAGTATGCAGAGTGCGTTGTACGGTAGGAGCCTGAGTATGCAGTGGCAGTGCGTTGTAGGAGTATGCAGTGGCAGTGCGTTGTAGGAGTATGCAGAGTGCGTTGTAGGAGTATGCAGTGGCAGTGCGTTGTAGGAGTATGCAGTGGCAGTGCGTTGTAGGAGTATGCAGAGCGCGTTGTAGGAGTATGCAGAGTGCCGACGGTGCGTTGAAGGACTGAGTATGCAGAGTGCGTTGAAGGAGACCAAGAACTTGCTCGCAGCCTTCTCCGGTCCCCTTGCGCTCTACCTACGCGCCGTAGGTCAGCATGCTCTTAGTAAGGGCCGGCCGCCGGGCTCCTAAACGCCCTGACCGCCGTCAGTGAGTCAGCAGTCAAGCTCGCCGGTATGCCGGGGAGACAGTAGTCGGCAGGATTGGGTTTGGTTCTCGCTGTCTTTTCTCTTCTCGCCGTTTGGCCAGTGCGACAGTGTCAGGGTCAAGCCTCCTCGACTCTCCTGATTTTGTCCTCAGGCCGTTCTCAGAGAGCTAATTAGAACCAGATCTAATTCGGCCTTTTTTTTTTTGAAACGGGCAGAAGGATTTGGAGGGGTTCTAATTAAGTGATATTTTACCCAATACCACCTCGATTTAACAAAACATTGTGAATAGAGAATTTTCTGGGCTGCCGGATACCCACCCTGCCCTCATTTCGTTGCACCAGCCCTAAAAGGGGGGCATGACCCACTCTAAGACCTTCATGAAGGGGGTAGAGTTTTTCAAGGGGTGGGTGGAATCGAGAGAAAGGGTGCACGGGGAATGTGGGGGAAATACGAAACATGTGAGAGGAGGAAAGAGAGCAAGGAATACAAGAGAAATGACAATCATGAATAGAATAAGGCAGTGAATCAAACACATGCATACGGAACCACCGCTCCTTGAGTTGCAAGAGTGACTTTCCCGTTCTTGGTTTGAATGTCCAAAACATTTTTACTAAAGAATACTTCTCAAATATCAAATGATCATGTAGAGTTTCAATGAGAGAATTTTTTTGACAGGGAACCTCTTTGGGCGGTTGAAACTAAGGCCAAGAGGTCAAAACAGCTGTAAAGATGCTTGCAGAACTAGAATTTATCGTACTCTATCCAAACAGGATGAGATTGTAAATGCTTGAAAGGCATTAGCAATTGTTTTCCTCCCTATCAAATTTTGCGAGGAATTTAGATTTCTTGAGTCAACATCACACTTGCTACCTTTCTTTCTAGCACCGTTTGATATGGTTGCAGAATTCCATTTCAGCGGTGCTGATGAATTGAAATGGCTGCTCATGCCCCAATCGCCGCACAAGATTTACAGTCCTTTGGAGACGAAAGCCAGGTTGGGGATATCTTTTTGTTTTGAGCTCATATGAGGTGTCTGTTTGGATTGAACTGTGCATATGTCTCTGTTTTGGATCTCCTCAAGTACAACCTGAAGTCAGCGAATCTTCGAGATGTAACAAGTTTGTTTAAGCAAGACTGCAATCGCAGAATCTTGTTCTTGATCTTATGAAGCAATCTTTAGCCATCTGTGTTCCTAATTTGTTCTTACTTTTCACCAATTTTGGTATTGAACTGATCTTTGTTTGGCCTGTAGAGATCAAGAAGCGATTCAGACATTCTGGTTTCTGAATATCACGCTGTCCCCCTACATGTGCGAGCGCAGGCTGAAGCCTGGGAGCTGCCCCGTGAAGAAATCCAATTTGCAAATGTGATCGGAGAAGGGGAAGGAGGTATAGTGTATCAATGTCGCTGGAGAGGATTAGATTGTGTGGCCAAGAAGCTAGCACAAGATTCAAACGCATCTGCTGGTTAGGCTCGTCATTCTTTTCTTTTGCCTTTGATTGATATCTAACCTCAGAATATGCTGATATGATCAACGAGTTGTCCACTGTATCTCGTTTACGCCATCCAAATCTTGTTCTGTTCTTGGGTGCATGCACAAAAGGAAATGGGCCGCTAATAATCCTGAGTGAGTATCTTCCTGGAGGGAACCTTGCAGATTATGCAGCAAAGCAGCGACAGCTTAAATCAAGATCCAGGTGGTCTGCGTTGATCAGAGGAAGAGTGCTTCCTGATTGCTGGTGATAGGGGGAGACCCTCCATGGAGATTGCATACACCTGGTGTATGGATTTAGCAAGAGCTGTCTGTTATCTTCATAACTGTACGACTCCTGTGAGTTCTTAGTATTGTTTTACTTCGAGTTGATTATTGTCGGATCAGGTCATTCATCGAGATCTCAAACCAGCAAATTTGCTTTTAACTGACGACTTGAGACTGAAAGTACTCAACGTTTTGAACTGCCGCACGTTTACTCACATGTAGTATAGGTATCTGATTTTGGCCTTTGCAAAACGTTACTGAAGGACTCTGCTGATGGCAAACCATACAAGGTGAGTGTTAGAATGTGATTGCAGAAGATATTTGTCCGAGTTTCCTCATTATCCAACAGATGACAGGGAACAAAGGCACTTTGCAGTACATGGCCCCCGAAGTGTGTAAATCTAAATATTACAGACTACCGTGCTACCAACTCGTTTTTGAATGTTTTAACTACCTATTCTAGGTTATTCAGTGTCTGCCAAACTACAATGAAAAGGTGGACATTTACTCAGCAGGTTATTCATGCCGTACTTTGTTGCAATGTTTGATCCATCTCAGGAATGATCTTTTGGTTCATTGGCATGGGCTGTGAGCCTTTTGAGGTACATGGCAATCTATTGCTCTTTTGATCTTGATAGAGGTATAGGGCGTTGGTGCTGAAGTTCTATCACAATGGATCGCGTCGCAGGGCAAGCGTCCGCCTCTTGAAGAGATAGCGATGCGGTCGAGTCGAGCTTTTTCACCCTCATGCTGGTGATTGACTTGTGTTTCAGGCTGGGGGAAGAGTTTGGGAGCCTCATAAACCGCTGCTGGGATGGAGAGCCAGAGGTACACTTGTGTGGTGTGGTTATCCGAAGGTAATAGAAGGGTTGACCCTTGACTGCAGTTGAGACCATCAGCTGATCAGGTAAGTGGAACGTGGAAAAGACGAGTCGATGGGGCAAGGAAGTCCTTTAATGCGTGTGAAAGGTTGTGGAAGAGCTTGAACTGATCTGGAAGAATGAAAAGTTCGGGTATTGTCAATCTTCTTTTGCCGTCAGCTTCTGCTAGGCTGGTTTGTGTGCTTACAGACCCCCGTCTACAGGAAAAAGAAGGACAACAAATGCGTTATTCAATAGCCGCTCTAGCCACTGAAGTTTGGCGCCGGCCTCTGATGCAGCCCGGCCTCACTGTTCTGGCTGAATCGCCTCGGAGTTCCGAAGAGGATTGTACACTGATTGAATAAACTCACGCCGGGCGATGATCATTGCCAGTGACTCAGTGAAACTGCCAGTGACGGTGGCCCAGGCCCGACTCGTGACTCGTTCCGGCGCGGCACCGGCTTTCCGGCGTCGGATTACGGCGTAAGATTGAGTCACTGTCTGTGATCTGTGGTCACTTCACAATAACACGTGCCCCCGCCCGGGCGCCCGGCCGCCGGGCCGGCCGCGGGCCGGCGCTGGGACTCAGTACGGTCACTCCAGTACGGTACGGTCATGACCCGGTACCGTGCCAGTCTTCACTACCGTGCCATGACGTCGCACAGCCTCCGCCTCAGATCGGATCCCTCCTTCGCACATGCGGTCAGCATGCGGTCGGAGCACTGCTTGATCAGTATGGCTTGGAGGGTTGCTATGTTGTTGGTTGTTATCGCAGCAGCAGTCACTGCCAGTCCTGTCCTCCCATTCAACCTTATGTCATTGTTATGATCTATATTTCTATTAGGAGTTCCTGTCTACTAGGCCCACTACATTGCATAGTTCACCACCCTTATCGTATCTCGGTTGCAAGGTCCAACGAATATCCCTACTCACTTGTGAATACCAGCAAATTTAAAAAGAGTTTGATGAGGCCGAAAAGTACTAGTCATGTAAGTCTTCTGCTTCTCCTCACTCTCAGCACCTCCGAATATTCCCTGCAATTTTGCTTCCCGAAGCTACCAAATTTGGTGTCGTCAAAAAGAAGCATACCTGACAGGTTTATATTGATCCTTTACTTGATTTCACTTTAAATTCTCCTTGGCCAGGCTAAAGCAAACGCACGTTTACTCGTTTTCTCATGGAAACGATATAGGCGCTGTCAACACCAACGGCACTAGAACAGGTTTTTCCATCGTGAAAACCTTTGAAATCCCGGCTTTCGATGTCAAGCGCGACGTTCTTCCACGAATACAAGACACATCAAATCTACTTCGAGAGTTTGACGAAGAGACGAGCGCATTGAGTATTTCTCTTGCCCTTCATCTTTTCTTTCAAGACGACTTTCCATCAATGACGAGGTCACAAATAGCGTCCGAGTTTGAGATGACTTTCATTCTGAGTGAGTGTTCAGTGCCAGGAAAACAGTTCGGAGAGGGGAAGTGCTATCAGCAGATAAACAGGAACTTGGCATAAAATTCTATGTTGCTGGTGCACAGACTGTTCTGCTTCAAAGTCGCAGTATGCCAGGACTTTTTCCACAGGGGGTCAAACCGTTTGACATGCCTGTGGTTTACGAGGTTCTAAAAGTTCATCAATCATGTAGCTCGCTGTCTGTCTGAGTGATAAATGACAGGACGATTTTATCGGAGTGGTTGTCAAGCCAGCTGGTGTCCTTACCCATCGGAATAGAGGCAATTCACAGGCAAAACATGGATTGCACGCCTCAGTCATGGTTTGATTTTAGTGCATGTCAGGGCGGAACTGTCAAGTCCGGTCTTGCATACAATTTGAAACCAACATCCTGTGGTGAGATGAAACACGATTTGGTTTGCGGTTGAATGTTGATGCTCTCAGCTCACGATGCCTTGTAAGGACTAGTCAGGATTCTTCGATATTCTCATGTTTTATGCTGATCCTTAAGGTTTCGACCTGTCCCTTGCCACCGACTCGACCAAGGAACGGGTAATGCTGAGTGTTTAGCTTATTGAGACTCCCTCGTTCACGCAAAACAGGTGGAATTATGTTAGCGGCAAAAACGAGGTCGGCTGCTGCAGAAGCGACCAATCAGTTTATGACGAGGTTTGAGATTGTTATGCTTTGCCGTCATTTGAGACTTGGTAGGAAAGTGGAAAAGGAGTATGTTGCTATAGTAGCTGGTCGGCTGGAGGGCTCGGTGAGGTCCGCATTGCCTCCTTGGAGTTGATTTGTGATGCAGGGAACGGTTGAGCTACCCCTGGCAAATCAATCAGCCTGCACTGCGTTTTATGCACTCAAACATGCTCGAAGTCTGAAGTATGGCTGGGTGACAATGGTGAAAGCCTTGCCCAAAACAGGCAGAAAGCATCAGGTATATCTTGCAAACATCTGACGGAATGTAGTGATGGCATCGGAAGATTCGGAAGCACATGCTCTCACTGGGTCACCCTATAATAGGAGATAAGAAATACACTGGCATTTCTTGTGGAAGACCTGAATGGACGTACGCATGATTCTTTCAGGTGTTTACACAGAAAGTTTTGACGGACACTTAGGCCTGAACCCACTGGACTTATGTTGTGGGCTCACCGCCTGAAACTTCAACATCCTGTGTGCCGATCTATCGACATTTGCTGTATTAGTCTGATGTTTTTGTTTGAGAAAGGAATCAAAGGAAGAGATGGAATTTGTTGCTGAAGTTCCTCTACGATTTGGTCGTTTTTTGGACCGTGAACATGTAAGTCAATGTGCGCACGTCAAATACAATGACAGAAAGTCGTGGCACCCTTGGACTAGTTGTAACCCAGACTGACAGCTTGCTCCAGGAACGATGGAGGAACTTGACTTATTGCAGCCTAGAGTGATTCGATCCGTGACACTGCCAGGCAGTCACAGCGCCGCCGGCAGGCCTGGGCCGGGGGGCCCGGGGGGCCTACCGTCTGTGAATGAACTCGGAATCGGAACCAGTACTGCGGCCCGGGCATTTCAAGCCGCCGCAGTGAGCGGCCCGGCGGCCGGCTGGTACCGTACCGTGTAGTACACGCCGCCGGGACTCCGGGAGGCTGTACCGGCCAGTCACACTCAGTAGCGGCGAGTCACACTCAGTCACTGTTCACACTGAGTGACTGTCGGACTCGGAAAAGGCTGGGCTTTCCGAACGGCGAGGCGGCTCGGAGTGCCAACAAGCCGCTTCCGAGTTCAAGAACGCAGTCACCCGTTAGTAACTTGCGGCCCGAGCCGACCGACTCGATCGGATGATCATGGCCCCGGGTGGCATCATAGTGAGGCTGATCGGACCGTGAGAGTCCCGGCACTGGGCAAGTCCGCCGGCCCGGGCCCCGGCGGCGGGACTCGGGACCGTACTCGGGAGACTCAGTGAGAGGGCCGTAGTACCGCACTAGGGCCGGCCTCCTTCTACTGACTCCCGGCGTACCGTCGGGTGACTCTGTGACTCGCCGTCACCGGGTCACGGCGGTACGGTCAGTACTACGGTAGCCCCGCCCCGGGCGGCCCCGGCCGCAGGGGTACGGACCGTGCGTGCAGCGCCGCCACCCGGGTGACCCGGCCGGCCGGGCTGGCGGCGGCCCGCCGCACCAGGCTGGCCGCCGAAGTTCCCCTCGGGCCGCCGCCCATCACCGTGGCACCGGGCCCGTCAGAGTCAGGCCCGAACTCAGTTCGCCGGGCCGGGGAAAACGGTGGCACCGGGTCACCCGGGGGGGTCCCCGGCGGCAGGCTGCGGCGGCGCATCCGACATGGCGGGCATCGCCGTGGCCGCGGCCGGGCACTGGCAGGCTGCGGCGGCACTGCGGGCATGCCCCGGGGCCCCCCGCCCGCGCCGGCGCGGCGGAGTCCTGGCCTTCTCACAGTGACCCTGCGGCTCTGGCATCATGATCATGGCCTGCCCCCGGGCGGCCCCGCGGGCCTGGGCCCGGGCCCGGCACAGCGGCAGCCGGGCCGGGCCATCGTCGGAAAGCCCGGCCGCCGCTCACGGAGTCACGTCCCGGAGTCCGACGTCCGGCGAGCCCGGCGGGTCTTCATAGTCACGAGTCACGCTATGCCGGTCGGGGGCCGACCGTCTTTTCAGTGACTGACTTACTCAAAGTCACGCCGGGCCGGCCGGGCAGTGCCATCAGTTTGTTCTTGACTGACAGGCTGAGAGCTGAGGACAGTTGGGACGAAGAGTCACATGGGCGTTAGAAGATAGCTATTGCTGACCGGGAGAAGGCGCACCTGAGAGACCTCGAACCAGGTTATTGCTGTCACCACCCCCTTCCCCCGCTTCCCGGAATGTCCGTCAGGGGCCTAGGATCAGCGCAGTGCACCCTAGAAGCCAAACTTATTGAACATCTTCGAGTAAATTTGGAATTTTCACCAATATTCAATTTTTGAAATATTATTTCAATATTATAAGTATTGTTTAATTTTTTTTGGGAGGTTTACCTCTTCAGCGATTTAACCCCTTGCGGTACTGCCTGAGAGCAATCGAGGGGTGGGGGTGGGCACTTATCGATGCCTCTAGCAGTAGAGGGGGGTGGGCACTTTATCGATGCCTCTAGCAGTAGTTCATTATTAGGAGGTGGAATTCTTGCTTCACCAAACTGGGGTAGGGTACTGGAAGTAAAATTCACCAATTGAGGGGTAGGGTACCCCTGTCTCCTTCAATCAACAATGAACAGCCCTTTCTTTACTGTTCACTACCCCACCCTGGCTGTATTGCCTGTCACTCCATCAGGCAACACATACCCACCCATGTTTGGTCTACACCCTCTCGGATCAAGATCATTGTTGACCCTACCCTGTATCCAGAATAATGCAATGTACCCCACCCCATTGTACCCAAACATCTTAATCGTTTCAACCCCGCAGAGATCTTGTACCCCTCAATCATCTCGGAAAGCTCAGGCTCAACACTTCCAGGGATAGGCATTATATCCATTTATCGAATTAGAAAATTAAAGACCTTCAACACCTTACCTCATGGCCCCATCATCCATTGTCGTTCATCCTCCCATCCTTTCGCCTCTGGAGTAGCTGCACCCCTCAACTATCTGCTGCAGACCACCCTACCGTACTGTGTAGGTATCCACCCCACCCCACTTGATTTGTACGATTACCAAGCGCCTGCTGCCGTCTGCTCCGCCTACCCATTTCCTCTCCCCACCTGCTGACGGCACGCTCTCCTCACCTTCCCCATACAGCTGCTCTAACCCCCCCCCCTCCCCCTTATTGCGCCTACATCATAGTTAAATCATTGCACCAAGACTCTTCCTTGGCTTCTCTTTGTTCTAGCATACTTTTGATCAGGTGGAGAATTCAGCATCAGATCAACAAAAATGGTCCCACGTCGAGACGACTCCTCGACGAACGAATCTATTGCTACGCAATCCCCGGGAGCTGAATCTCTGTCTTTAAGTCCACCCATGACCATGCATGCCTCTCTTTCTTCTGAACCGGCTGGGTTGCCCTCATCACGGTCCCCGGAAGCTGGAAAGCCTTCGCAGGCTAGTTCTATCCGTCCCCTCCCTCCTGCTGCGCGCCCTCCTTCGGGAGAGAAAGAAGGATCAGACAACTGCTCCTGCTATTCACCAACACCAAATCACTTGAAAGATACGGAACTGGCATCAACAATCAATACGGAACCAGCACCAATAATCAACACGGGGAGACCTCCCATTCGTCCAAAGGTAGACCTCACCAATCTTCCGCCATCTACGCAAAACGTGTCAATTACATCTTCGGCTTCGGTGATTTCAAGTGCTTCGACTATTTCCAGATCCCCAACCTCAAGCAAAAGTTCTACTTTCTCCTCCTCCTTCTCCTCTACAGTGTACAATGCAGCGTTCGATAGGGCGGTGTCGGCCAGTGCAGCACTCTCCATCACGGCAACACCCACGTCCAAGGCAGCATTTCTTCCCCGAGCTCCTTCTCTTCAGAAGTCTTCGACAAGATCGATATCTATGCCAGCCGGTATTGGAAGCTTGAATCCGCTGCCCAGCAAGATCGCTGCGGAAATTTTAGCGATGGACTCTGAGGCATCTAGTGTCGAACAAGCCCCGAGTGAAAAGTCGGAGAAGCTCGATTCTCCCCTGACAGAGGAACTCTCGGAAAAAGATGAGATCGAATGTGGTTTGCAAGCAAAGTCTCGACCCCATCCATCCATAAGATCACTGTTGGCTACAGGAAACTACCACGGGAGTGCAGTTCAGATCATCGCAGCAGCTTGTGAGTCCAACGAGGATGTTCGGAAGCAACATCTGTATGACCTTTGGGCACCTACCAAGAAGCAGAAGTCTGTGTCTTCATTCCCGATGCGCAAGACTCCGAGTCTCATGCTGCTGTTCAAGCAGAAGAAAGAGTTGTCTGCCTCTGCGCCCACCGCTCCTTTCTTAAAGTCAGGATGGATGGAGGTGAAGACAAGGTGCTTCTTCTCCTGCAAGTGGGAAATGCGCTTCTGTGAGCTCAGCATTGAGGGAGATCTGAACGTAAAGAAGTCAGAGACATCAGACCCTATGGAGGTCATCAGCTTGCGGGGGATGACTTTGAAGAGTGATGAGAAAGACCTCACCATAATCCATCTCACCCCAGTTAAAGGAGGCAGCTCGTTCAATTTCCGGATTTCCAATTTCAAGAACAGGAAAGAATGGATTGAATCATTGAGACCTTGGACGAAGCCTGCTCAGATGCAAAAGAGCAATGAGATGGATGAGATGCGCTCCAAGTTCTGTCAACGAGGTGGGCATGATGTTGGTGCCGACAAACGAAGCATCAGTATGGATTTTACGATGTTGCGGAGGGCAATGTCTAGTTTGAAGAAGGATGCGCATAACTTGAAAGATTAAAACTGTAATAAATTACTTGCCCCGTCTTTTCATAGATCTTGACCTGCATGTTTGTGACATTTCGCTCAACGAACAAACAACAAACCTCAAGTTTTCTAGCTTCCTCCTTATCGATTTCGAATATTCTGCTCTAAGCCGTATCTGCTGCAATGTTCAAAGGGCTGAAGAGCCTTTAAGATTGCCCACCAGATCGAGGCGATTGAGGTAGCGGTTCAGCTCTCTCCAAGTCTGCAGGGTTGACAAGATTGTCAACTGAGGGCACATTGGTTGAGAGCAAATCGAAACAGAGAAGGGAAAAGATCATTATCCGCATTAGCACATTTGAAGACCAAATTTTTTTGCATGAGCACAAGTGAAGGCCAATGAAATTTGATTTTGTCATGAGAGATATACCGAGATCGCTTTGATCTGAAATCAAATCTTGTCACCTCTCATCTTCATCACAAACTCTTTCTCACCGTGTGTTTCGAATCTCTTATCCTCTTATACGTCAACTTGGCTATTGTTCGACCCTGGCCCGCGCGCTCTATCATCCGCTACACTGAGTCAGTTTCATCACTCAAGCACTCGTTTGACCCACATCTCGAGCCAGGCGGCCGACGACCTTGTAAGCGTTCTTATCATCTTCAGTGAATTTCTTGAGGCCAAGAGGGCCTAAAAAGACATCATTCTTCGAGATGTCAGACCACCCTTCATGACGTCCACCTGCGAGCCACGTCTGTCTGAGAAATCCCGCGAGAGTTGGTGTGATGGCGAAGTCGATCATGAGCCTCGCGGGGCTGCAGAGCAACACAATCAATCTGCAAGGCCCTTCAAACTACTCGCACACCCTGTGAGCTTGACGAGAACGAAAGCAATCGCAAACGCTCCTGAGATCGGAGCATTGTGAACGAGGAAACGGTATAGCATTGCACTTGCCTGCTGATGGATCGACATGGGAAGCGATCCTGAGGGAGTTTCAACATTGTCGTATAGCAGTTGTCTCAATAATGTTACTCACGACTTGGGAAGAAGCTCGATGAAGGCAGTGAGATCCATGGATTGGATGAAAGCGTAGGTTCCCTGATCGCATCATTAGAGACGAGATGTCCTTTGCATCAAATACCATCAAAGAGAGCCCCCATATTGTTGAATGAGACAGTAGAACTACTTTTCCATATTCCTGAGATCTCGGTCATTCAGAAAAGAGGTCCTTGATGTCCAGCTGTTAACCTGCATCAGCCTCTTGAATTTGTCTTTCTGACTTTCCGCTGTAACTCACATCTCACAACGCACATCGGTGTCAAAGAGAGAATCAATTCTGAACCTGGGGCTTCTGAAGTAAACGTTCGATGCTCCTTCCAGAAAAAGCAAGGAAGCAACGTCCTAGCATGAACCGGCATCATTGTGCGGGCAGCCCACGTGCCGGTAACGTAGCTCCTCTGCATATCGTGAAACACATTCAAGCTGGGTCGAAGCGATCGTCTCTGCATGCCATTCTTGTACGCACAGGGCAAAACTCCAACAGACCCTTGTGCTGATCGATACAGCCATTGAGATGAACATGAAGCAGTTGCAGATGTCGTGTTGAATCTAATTGCTCGGATGCCGCCATGCAATCTCGGCAGGATAGATTGCCCGATTCTCATCTTCGTTTTGTTTCCTGCACAACCAGATAAAAAGATGCTAGCTCAACCACATGAAGAGAAACAGACTCAACCCCAAAGATGTCACTGGTCCACATTTCAGACAGCCCTGCACAAGCATTGCTATCTAAACACTACGGAATTCTTCATCCACGCATTTGAACCATCTCTTGCCAAGCTGCTTCCTAGAGTGCACCTTCATAGTATCTACCCTTCATGTATATTCATTCAACTTGCTGAAAGCCCTTCATTTTCTTTCTCCAGACAACCGATTCTGTCTCCTTCTGTTGTTTGTGCGAATGCTATTCCTTCGTGACAGTCCCCAGCCTACTGAATACTTTCTAGTGTATTTACCCTCCCTGTTTCACATCGGATTCGATTCATCGGCATCACGAGCATCATTGTAGGCACCAACAGCTCCTCTATCTTCTCCTGCCTCCTTTTCTCGTCCTCTCCCGCTCGCATCCCGCAGCATTTCCCTGGATTATTGAAACTCGCACCCCCTTTATACTTGACCACCCCTAGTAAAAGTACCCTACCTACTCGAAGTCGCTTCCATCCTCACAAGATTTACGTGTCAAGACGAAGTAAAAGGACCCGTACCGAAATGCCGACTACCCCTCCCTTCTAGCACTACGTCCTTCTAGATGGAAATTGGATCACAGCCGGGTCCGGGCCGGGCCCGTACGCCGATGGGACCCAATAGTGATTTACTTGTGGAATGTTTAAAGTAAAACGAGCCCGCCTCAATTTGCAAAAGCAAATTGCGCCATGGCGCAGTTCAGGTGAATCGATCGGATCAGCGAGCGGGTAGGGGAAGAGAAGAGAAGACGAGAGGAGGGCGAGAAGAGACACCAGAAGAAGTGGATCATCACAAGAGGAGCAGAGAAGGAAGAGAGCCGATGCCATCTGCGCTTTTGGATCCTGCATGGGCTGAGAGCAGCAATTGGGAGATAGAACTTTTTTGCTCACGACGGTTAACAGTTACACCATTCCCGGGCAAGCGGAATGCTCTCCTGACAGTGAGCATGTGAAGGACTTCATACGTGACGGAATCATCGTGAGATCTTGTTTACTTTCACTCTCACCAACTGAACAACCTCAAGGTTTTACCGGGGTTTGCGTCTCAAGATGAGGTCAAGGAGATGAAAGGTAAAAGGCTAGAACGCGCGAGGTATGCCGACCAAATCTGCAGGAAGAATGCAACAGCTCATCGACCAATGGGACCCAGAGGAGGCGAGAGGCTCAGTGTTCCACACGTACGGCAACGACAAACTCAATCAGGTGTGCAAGCTCTGATACTTTGATGGAGATGACGGTGATGGGATGATGTTGATTCAGGAGTATTTTTTGGGCTCGGCGTCCACGGTGATGGACACGATGGGTTGCTTGCCATGTTCGCTCATGCCTCATCAGGTCAGGTTCTTCTTGGAAGCCGAGGCAGTCGACAAGGTAATGTTCAGCTGCCATGCGACATCTTCTTAGGGCTTGAGGTGAAGGACACTGGGGTCGTAAAGCCGTTCAACAACAAGGCGAGCATCATCAACAAAGTTGGTCACGGTCTGCATTTCATCGATCCCGTCTTTCGCCAGTACGCGCAGTCAGATAAGGTGAAGGCCTTGGTGAAGAGCCTTGGCTACAAGGTATCCTTCCTGCAGAGATGCGGCGCGTGAGGGGTTGCTAGGATCCTGTACTGCCGCAATCGATGTACATCTTCAAACAAGCCAAGATAGGTGCTCGAACACATGACATGTCTTCCTTGCCTCCTCATCCCTGGTATCCAAGGAGGAGAAGTTACGTCGCATCAGGACTCAACATACCTGTTCACCGAGCCAGTGCAGACGTTTGCAACCATGTCTAACGCCTGCAACGAGTCTCATTTGCGCTCAGGTGTCTTGGCTTGTGGCTAGCATTGGACGAAGCAGACGAACTGAATGGATGCCTTTGGGCACGCAAAGGCTCTCACCGGTGATCTTTACTCCTGACATTCCCCACTCCACATCCTGGTGATAATTACTCTTCCCATAGCCCTCTTTTACCATTCTAATGATAGCTACTCTTTAGATTCCCATCCCTGACCATTATTCTTAATCACCCATTCTCTCTCCTCCCTGATATCCTCTGCAGTGAACCTTTGCGAGCCCAGCTGTTAAGGAATGAACCTGACACAAGCGGAAAGGTCTTTCTCCCTTTCTTTCTTGTCCCCATTTTGTTCCAATCAACCATGTTATCCTGCGACTTGCCTTCCTTTCGCATCCTTCCTCGCAACCTTTCCACCCGCCTTTGCTTTCGCCCGGGTTGATTCCCCTCCATACCTCTCTGTCTCAGTGACCTGTTGCTGGATGTCTGTAGGCTTCACTGAGACGTTCGTTGTAACAGATCACCTTGAACACCGTTGAGGTGAACGAGCCTGGACCTGGTGAAGCTTAATGATGTATGAATTTCCTGAAATGGGCTCACGAGACAGTAGGGAGGCATGAAGAGGCAAAGAAATGGGTTGGGAAAGTTCCTGGAGGAAATCCGCACTACTCGCAAGAGACTGTTGAGGCGCTCAAAAAGGTCAGAAATGATTAGATCCAGTCGCACATATTTGTTGAGCATGCTGCAGGCAGGATTTGTTTCTCTTCCGGTGAAGGCTGGCGACTTGGTAATATTGTTTCAACATAGTTTTCCTTCGCCTCACTCGTATCCTCTCACTTGGTTGCTCTTGATTCGCTTGCCATTTAGCATTGCTCATTTTCTCCTGTCGATTGAATCGTTTGACAATTCTCCATACTCAGGTTTGCTTTGCTGGAACTCTGGACCATCTGTCATTATCAAACCGCACTGAGCGCGAGCGTCACACATTCCAGTTACATCTTGTTGAGGTAGCATCAATGAATTCAAGCAAATTCATGACCTTGCGACAGGGCCCTGCAGCTGGTGTGAAGTGGGCTAGCAGTAATTGGATGCAATATCCAGAAGGTAACACAGGATCTCTATAGTATTCCCCTTCAAACCGAATGTCACTTGGCCCTCGTTCAACCGCAGGTCTTTCGTTTCCACAACTGTCCTGAAGCCTCGTCTCAGCGACGGAGAGATTTCGATTTGATCGCCATGAGTTGAACAATGCTAATCGTCTGGTACTTATTTTCAAGAATTACAAGGGTGGCGGTTGTTTAATGACTAGCTACTGTACAACACAATTGAACTTGCATTTACATGTCACCTTTGCCTGCAGAATGTCAACACGACAGACATTACACGCATCGTCTCTCACATCTTCAGAAGAGGCATTAGCTGCTGATTGCATGACCTTCAGCTTAGAAACGATTTCAACAGCAGATGGCCGCTGTTTCCATGGTCAGCATGTAAAAATACCAAGAGAGAGGACAACCAGCTTGGGATTTTCTGCCCACATACATTCCACCAGCTCTTCAAGCTCAGGCCAACCTGGGGAGTCAACTATCAAATCTCTGCAATCATTCAAATCAAACTGCTGACCTATCGCCCTCGAGTCTGGACGCAGTCCCCTCGACGAGGTTAGCAAGGAGATGAGTTGAGGCTCGATCAAATTGAATGGACGCTCTCCCTTGAAGATGTACCAAAAGATCATTGCCATAGAATAGATGTCCACTTTTTCATCATAATCTGGCTGGCTCAAAACCACCTCAGGTGCCATATATCTTTTTGTTCCTGTACATCCTGTCATCGTATAAGGAGTTCCATCCTCCTTGACTTTGGCTAATGTCTTGCAAAGACCAAAATCAGAGACCTTGAGGTGGTCATTTTCACTCAACAGCAGGTTAGCAGGTTTCAGGTCGCGATGAATAATCGGAGTTGTGCAATTGTGGAGAAAGCAGACAGCGCGAGATAAGTCCATGCACCAGTTGATCGCTTGAATTCTCGACGGCTTCCAAGGTCTCCCAAGTTGCTTCTTTTTCAGGTCAAATCTGTCCTCCAGTGATCCCCCTGCCATGTACTCGCTCAAGATAAGCAATGGCTCTGACACAGTGCAAGCACCCAGAAAAAGCACCAGGTTGGGATGACGGAGATGGGATATTGTTGAGATCTCATTGATCATATCGTGATATTCTACAGAGACTTTGGAAGCAGTGCTTAACAGCTTGGCTGCACAATCCAAACCCCTCCATCTGCAGAGATAGACCACTCCACCTGTTCCTTCCCCTATTTTACTTGCGAGTTTGATTTGATCCCGCGGAACTTCCCAGGCCTCAGCTCTCCCACGTATTCTCAATGGAATATTTGAAAATTTCTCCAACAGATTCACAGAAGAACTCGAGTCGTCTCGGTAAATGTGGGCAGGGAGGGCATCAACGTTGGCAACAGCGATGTCAAAGTCATCCTCCATGCTGGGGTTCTCTGCTCTATGCTGGAGAACAACATCATCTACTCCCCGAGGTGTTGAAGGTCTTCGCGCAATCGTCCTTTCCGCGCCTGAATCACTAGTCAGTCAACCCCAGCCTTGTCAACAAAGAAGTAGGTTTGGACGGGCCACCACCATGCACATGTGATCGCGTGAGAGCATGCACGTTCTCACCGAGACTGTGGTAGGACGTCCCATCTGTCTTGTTGGAATGGGCAGAACGGCCGAGAGAATCATCAACGCCGATTCCATTTCGTATCATTTCTCCGAGGCTGTGCACCGCTTTCATACCAACACAGAATTGTCGATTAGTTCCAACTTGGAGCTAAAGGAAGTCAGCCGAGCTAGAGGAGCCAGGAGATATGAGGAGATGGGAGAGGAGAGGATATGGAAGAGGAGAGGAGAGGGGAGGGGAGGGGAGGAGAGGAGAGGAGAGGAGAAAGGAGCGGGAGAGAGAGACTGAGCAAAGTCAATCCCTCCTGCCCTGAGCGCAAGGAAACGGAGCAGGATGGAAAACCCTACCCCCCTCTACCCCCAACCTGGATCAGAGCACCACAAATACCCCCTCAGTCACACAGGATACAGGGGGTTCCTGTATACACCCACCCTGGTATAATGCATGTTCCTAGATCTGGGATCATTCTGCACCCACCCTTTACACTACCCTAGGAATACCCAACAATTCTACCGGTAAACCCTGGGTAGTAGATCTATTACAGGTGGGGTAGTCGAAACGTTGCCCATTTCCAATGAACGAGGCAGCGCTATTTCACAGGACCCCCCCCTATAACTTTCCCATGATCCGACCACCCACCTACATCTGTTCCATCTGTGTTCCCCGGCGCGCTTCCACCCGTCAGTTCATGGGGTGGGGGTGTGAAACTACCCCACTCTATCAGATCCCCCCGATAAAGGGCCCAAACACTTCGAATCCCCACCATACAATCAGACTCGGAACCAAGGGTGGTGTAATTTCAGACCTCGTCATTACCACCCCACCCCTAATCAAAGAGATTTCAGTTCAAACTCCGAACGTGCACGCGAGATACAAAAGGATCATGATGAGGGTGAGGGGGGTGGTAAGGAATGGGACAAGGGTAGTTCAATATAGATATGGGCTGTAGAAAGAAGGTGGGGTAGTACGCAGGTGAAGAGGTGCACTTTCTAGCTGTGCCAAACATCAATGGCGGACTGATGTAGGATCATGGGTAAAATCTCTATACTTATTCGAGGGAAGTGCTCAAAAGGACAACTTTCGCTACGCCAACTCTGTTTCATTGTGTTTGTGCTTCCACCACGTTTGAACCTTGTTCTAGGACCCAGGTCTTAGCAAGCCTAAGCAGGTCTGATCGTGTGGCTTTGAGACCTGTTCCTACGACATTGGTCCTACGTCCTAGAGTTCTCGAGACGAAAAGGACCCGTACCTTTCTGTACCCCCTGGAGGCCGGCCGCAAGAGGGGTCTGGTCCCCGACTCGCCTCATGTGCCCGGCCTCTTCTCCCCATGTTCCCCCACTTTCCACTCGTAAAAGGTCCACTACTACCCCACCCCAGGCCACCGTCACCCTCTACCCTTCACCGGGCCCGCCTGCCTGTCTCAAAGGCATTCACTAGTGACTTAAAACTTTGTGTGTTACTAAGCCCGGCCCATCACGCCCGGGCCTGACTCTGCCAGAGCAGCGTGACGGCGGCGGCCGGGGGGGCCGGCGGCCCGGCACCGCCGTTAGCCCCCGGTCGGGGACCGTACTACCGTGTCGCGGCCCCTGGGCCGGCCCCAGTTAAACCGGTCCGAGGGCGGCCCGGTCCCGGGGCCGGCCGCCCGGCGCTCACTGCGGTCCGATCAGTCACGCGGCTCCGGGAGGGCGCGGCCCGCGCGGGCGCAGTGGTGATCGGACTGAACAGCCGGGCGGGCTCGGGAGGCAGTTTGAACTTCGGAAGGCTAGAAGGCTAGAGCCGCCTCTGAAGGCTCACAGGCTGAGCCGCCCGCTCTCAAGTTGTTCTCCCGTGTCACGCTTCACAGTGCCTCTATCTTTCTGACTCCGGCCGGGCAGGCTTCTCACCCCGGGGTACGGTCAGGCTTCAGTGGCCGGGCATCAGTGGCCCTGTCCTCCCCTCATCATCATAGTACAGCACAGCCTGTGACAGCCGCCGCCGCCCCCCACTGACAGCGAGAACCGTGGCAACCGTTGAAAACTTTCCGAGCCGGAGGCTGGTAGGCCGCTGATCCCCTGGTCGGCCGGGGCGCGGGCCCGATGATCGGATCAAGCCTTTTGGATAACTTGAACTTGAAGTGATCGGATCAAGTTGCCAGAGAATCTTGGAAACCGTGCTCGGCGGCTGGGCTCACATTCTGGGGTCAAACCGCGGTAGTTTTCGTCCTATATTCTCAAGGGGGTGGTGAATGGGAAAATGGGGGTACACGGTGTGTGATTCGCGCAGGTTGAAATTTTGTACTGTTCAAATTCAAACCATATTCAAAACCGTGATTAAAATTGATTTTGGATGTTTAGCTCATCGTTTCCTGGTACCTTCTAAAATGTTTTAATTCTACACGCCTTCACCCACTACCCCAGCGCGTCTCCCCTCACCATACCTCTCTCATGTCGCGAAGCTCTTCTCTGCCGATCCTTGTCTTCAGTGTTTGAGTTTTGTGCGAGCATGTTTGCCCAAGTTGCAGTCACTCGCAGCAGGTGAGCCTCATCAACATCTCTCTTCGTCAAAACCTCTGTGCCGGTTGTCTGTTTCTATGGAAGGGGACGAGTATACCACGAACACACACGAGCATGAAGAGACTCGAAAGTATTTTGTGAGAGAAGAAGGTGAAAATGAACCCATTCCATCACACAGGTAGAGAGTTCTTCTGTGGATTGTTCATTTTCTAATCGTTGTGAACAGGTAGCAAAAGCTTGGCGATGTTGAGAACTAGGTTCTGAATGGTTGCAGCTGAAACGTATTACAAGATTCCAAGACCTTTATTCCACGAAGACCTTCATCTTCATGTGCTGGATGGAATATCATATTTATGAGAGATGCTTCACTGTGCCACATGACTTTTTCACATCATGTTTGAACTTCTCCGCCTTTGAATGATGCATCTCTTGTTGCATGACTTAAAAACACTTTGTAAAGATGCATAGTCTTGTATATATCCATGTCCACATGCTCAAAGCCTTGCCGCTTTATGACAAACAATGTAGACAACTCTTGAAGACAGCAAATCCAACGGCACGGTGTTGGATGGCAGTGCACCTGCAGCATGATGTGCTTCCATTCTGTTGTGCGCGCAGTTGGAGACATTCCATATGCTATTGTGGTTGTCATTATCATTGACTGGGAGTCCGTGTCAATTTGCTGGTAGTTCGACATGCTGAGATAAATGCTTCTAATGAATAAGAAATGTCAAATCACATAACACCTCCAACCTTGATTCTACATTCAACGCGGCCATGTCAGTCTGGTTGCAACGCACAATAGATTCTTGCATGCCAGCTTACAAGCTCAAGACTTGATCCCTGATATGATCTGAGGCTTAATTGGACGTCAAGCTCCGCCTTTAGGGAAGCAAAGCAAAGTTCATGCATTTCAGCAAATGTGCAAACATCCAAAGGACCTGAGTGAGGAGAGTTTGGAGAGAGGAGGGAAGATACTTCAACAAGAGCTTCGTGACTCAGAGTCAACTAATTGGCATATTTTAAAGAATCAAATATCATCAAACTTCAAGTTCTGAAGATGTGAAGCAACGATGTAACGAAGCGTACAGAAGACGTGCCAAGGAGGGGGTCAAGTGAGATGTGATTGCGCCTTAATTAAGCGGACTCGTCATGATCTTACAGATATTATCATTCAGTTCATGAGAGTCTTTAGATAAAGTACATTACTCTGAGAGCCCAGAAGTCTTGAAGAGAACATTGATGATACGATTGACTTAGTCGTCGGAAATGTAGGATGACGAACTCATGCTGATTGATCCACTTCTGCAAGATCACCAAGTAAGAATTTGTGCTGGATTCTTGATGCCAAGTGTACCTTGCGATCATCTTCTTACTCGGCGGTCCTTCATCTGTGCTCATGGCGGCAGCTCGTTGACCTTGCTGCTGTGCTCGCCCGGCGGCTCAGCATGTCGGTGTGCGATTGACGATGGGAATGATGGGGAGCGTTTCCCCACCCTGTCGATGAGGGTGGGTCATCAAAATTGTTTTAGATGATACAAATTAGCAGTTATGAACCGTTACACAGTACAACTGTTTGTACTATGTATTCGAATAAACAATTCATTGTCGTTAAAACAAATGGACACGCCAGTTCAAAATATGAAGCACCCCTACCACTGATATTACCGAGCAACACCCCTCAAAAACCAAGGGGTACACTACCACCGGTATCCTATGAGAACAGCATACGCATTCCTCTTTTGCGTTAAGTTCGACTACCGCGGTTTGACCCCAGAATGTCATACAAAAAATATTTGACCGATGTTTGACAAGTGGGTCAAACGGTCACCACGCCAACCCGAGCCGCATGCATGATCTTGATGCTGAAAGCAGGGAGAGAGGCTGGACATTGAGACTGATATGTTACCTCCGTCGCGAACCCTATCACCTTCTTCGCCGATGTCCCAAGCCCTGCATGCTAAGGCTCCGCAACGTGAAAGCGGTGAGCAGCAGGAGTAGCACTACGAACACTACGCTCTCTCAGTAGGTGTACTGTTCTGTGGAAGAAGAAATATGTTCTGCTGCGCCATGCCGTGAAGATCTGCAATGGTTGCTGCCGCTCGCCCGTATTTGTATACCACATTCAGTTTGTTGCTCTTGTCTTTGCCTGGGGCATCGCAAGTTGAAGTGGTGAATGGAAACTTTGCTCCGGTAGGAGGAGGAAAGCGATTGCGTTTGACAGGGTTTCGTTCTAGTCTCGGTCAGTCAGTCAACACCTCGGTGACGTGCTTCTTCATCCTTTCTTCGCGCACTATCTCCTCACGAGCTCACTCTCTGCCGGGTGTGGATGAGTTTCAGTGTTTGTCACCAAGGGTGGACATTCCGACTCCATCGAAGCTTCAGGTGCTTCATGAAGTTGGTATTCTGCTGGAATCAGACTTCTACTTCTACGCCATTCTCTCCTTCTGGCCTACAGGAGGAGCGCTGCTCGGAGGCACGCCTGTCGAAGTTGTCGTTGCAAACTTTCCTCCGACCTTCGACTCATCGAGGCATCAGGCATCTTGTCGTTTCGAGCAGCAAGTCGATGCGGGAGCGTTGGATGTAGAGGTCCTTGAGAAGGTCGGGGGCGACGCGTCTTTGGTGATTTGCAGATCTAGGAGAACCTTGCTATCTTCGTCCTCCCCAGTCAAC